CCAAGTAGCCGGGAATTACAGGCACACGCTACCACGCCCGGCTGATTTTTTGATTGATGGTAGAGATGAGGTCTCACTGCCCAGGCGGGTCTCGAACCCGCGGGTTCAGGCAATCCACTCACCTCAGCCTCCCAAAGGCGCGGGATTACAGGCTGAACCACCGAGCCCAGCTAAAGCCGGATTTCTGAATGTCAGATGATTATAAGGTCAGGAGACAGTTCTCATTCCTTCAACAGGCATCTAGAAGCTTCTGCTAAGTGGCAGTCAGCTCGAGCTGGGCGCTAGGCAGGGTGCAGCATCTGCTCAAGAGCTTGGCTGTGGGAGTGGTGATCCCACCTTGATGTAAATAGACCCCAGCTCCCTCCTTATGGGGGAGGTTTTGGCAGAATGCTCCCGTCCCGTGTGGAATGTCTGCAGGGCAGGAGGCAAACGGGCCAAAGCAGAATCGTAGGTCCTTCCTCTCTCAGGAGACACAGGCCAAGATGGCTGATGAGATATATAGTTTCTAGACTCCAGTGTAAATGTGCCCCCACATGGAGGATTTGGGGGTGGGGAGAGGGTGTTTGAGGGATTCTCCATGGGTCACGTAGGTCCTCCTAAGAGGACACAAGAAACGAGCTCCTTTTTCAGAGGCCAAGAGGATTCAAGTCTGAGAACCGAACGGGTTGCAGGTGAGGCGTGGGCACGTCTAGGGAAAAGGTTTCTGAGGGGGACGGTCACCCTCTGTGTTCCATCTGGAACCTCGGGGTCTCTTGATGCTTATGGTTTAGGGGCCTGTCTCAGTCTCCACCACCCGGGCGATGCCCACCCCGGGGGAGGATGGCAGGTGGTGAGGGCTCAGGGCACCATGTTCCACCACTTGAAGGAGAAGGGCTTCCGGCGCACGTTGGTGCCGCAGTGCACCTCCCCGTGCAGCAAGTGGTACGGGGTGAAGTCGTCGATGAAGGTGCAGTGCAGGCCCAGCGGCTCCAGCAGGGACCGCACCTTCTCCTCCAGGCAGCAGCGGCCGTTGATGATGGGCCCGAAGGGCTTGGGGATGCCCAGGTGCTTCCCCAGCACCAGCATGTTCACCTGCAGTGGGGGAGGGGGAGAGTCCGCGTGTTATCATCAACTCCCACCTCATCAAACTCCCACTTCCCCTCCCAGGCCCGCCCCGCACCCACAGGAACTGGGTTTGTCTTTGAGACAGCCTTGAAAGCTGTCTTTATCGTACACAGTAGATCACTGGGACACATCCTTGGAGAGGGGAGGAGCTTCTCTTTCAGTGGATTAGACTGAAAGGACCTTGAAAGCAGCTCCTTGACCCTTCCTGTGCCGGGGAATGATTGTGCCGCCAAGGACAAGGATTTGTGTCCGGAGGTCTATGGGAGCATCTGTGGTGCTCACCATGGCAACCTTCTCTGGTCACCACCCTCCTTATTGGTGGATTGAGGCAGCTGCCGCGTTTGTGTTCCATAAGCCCCACTTCCTAGGCCACAGCTGATTGGACTGGGGAAGACAGCTGACCTCCAACGGACCCTGTGTCAGTGTCTACAAGGTATGGGCCATAGTCTTATTAGTCCCCAGGGACAGAGCAGCAAAGGAAGTCCAGCTGGAAGGAGAGAGGGAGAGAGAGAGAATAAATGATTTAGACAGACAAGAGATGGTCCAGGCCCTCCTGAGGCCCTGCTGCAGCTCCCCTTGCCCTCAGGCGTCTGGGGTCCATCTATTAAGCCTCCCTCTGGGTTCAGCAGGCTGGGGTGGGCCTCTTCTCTTGCAAACGCAAGTCTTGAACCATTCATTGCACAAGCTTCTGGGGGCACATATATCATTATAAGATGGCCTCAACCATGCAGGAAGGAAGGGGAGTGATGAGAGGCTTTGCAAGTGGCGGGCTAGCGAGAACGGGGAAGGAAACAGGGGGGTGAAGCAATAGTGGTGGGGACAGCGTCCCCAGAAGACTCTGATGATGGGTGTGGAGAAAGAGGGGTGGGGGAGGAGAGCTGGGTGACCTGTAGCAATGCTGCTCGCACTGCCTGGGCCCTTGTTAGCAGCACAGCCTTGGACCCTGCCTTAGACCTTCAGAATTAGGACCCCTGGGGTGGGGCCCCAGTTTTCCAGGATTCAAATGCAGCCTCAGGATTTAGAAGCACCACAGGCAAAGCCCTCAAGGCTCAACCAAAGTTCACTTCTTCCAGAAAGTCTTCTTGGATTTCCCGTTCTACCTCTTAGGCTGGAAGCTCTCTGTCCCACCTCCAAGCTACCTCATCACTTTATCGTACACAGTAGATCACTGGGACACATCCTTGGAAAGGGGAGGAGCTTCTCTTTCAGTGGATTAGACTGAAAGGACCTTGACATCAGGGACCATCCCTAATCATCTCTGTATCTCCCAGAGGACATGTTAAGTACATGTGGGATGGATGAACAGTTGGCAGAAAGGGAGGTCCCAGCTGAGGCCATGGGGCCCTGCACACGTGACCTCACGCTGTCATTCACTCCCCCCATGAATGTCAGGTGGGCCCCTTCCCTGATGGCCCTTGAGCTGGGGCTCGGCCCGTGAGCGTTCCACAGGACCTCGATGGCCAGTCAGCTCAATGCCCTTCGGCCAGGTACCACAGAACTCCCACTCTCCCTGCCACTCCGTCCCAGACACAGCTGCGGCTAGACGTCGTGTCCGTCTGGGGGCTGGAGGCTTGGAGCCTGATGAGATGAAACCGTGAGCCATGGGTGATGGTCTCACCAAGTCGGGGAAGAAGGCCATGGCCTTCTTCCTCTCGGTCTTGAAGAGCTGTGGGATGTCGATGATGTCGCGCTCGGCCAGGCCCAGCTCCCGCTTCAGCACCTCGCGGTTCCAGTCGATGCAGCTCTGGGGGGGACAAGGTTAGGGGGGCCAAGGGGTCACGTGCGGCTGAGGAGAGGCAGGAGGCCCATGTGCCCTTAGGTCCACTGTCCCCACAAACCCTATCTTTGTGCCCCTTCATCAAAATATACCTGTCCCGCCCCACGCCCTCCCTCCCCGAGTCCTAGCCCCCAGTGGGGTTAAGCATGAGAATGTTCCATCCGCAACTCTCCTGCCTAATGTCCTCACACCTCAGGAGACCTCACTGTGGCCCATGGTTAAAAATGCCATCTAGACACTGACAACTCCTGATGGTGTCTTTCCCAAATTCTTTATAAAGCTCAAAATCAATCTCTAACAACAACAAAAAAAACTTAAAAACAATTTTTTTTTGAGTTGGAGTCTCACTCTGTCGCCCAGACTGGAGTGCAGTGGCCGCTCCCGGCCACCGCAGCCTCGACCTGCTGGGCTCCGGCGATCCTTCCGCCTCAGCCTTCCAAGTAACTGGAACTACAGGCGCGCGCTACCATGCCCAGCTAATTTTTGACTTATTGTAGAGATGAGGTCTCGCCAAGTTGCCCAGGCGGGTCTCGAACCCGCGGGCTCAGGCAATTCACTCACTGCAGCCTCCCAAAGCGCTGGGAAGTTTTTTTATTTTTAGAGATGAGATCTCGCTAGGTTGCCCAGATTGGTCTCGAACCTCAAACTCCTGGGATCAAGCGATCCTCCCACCTCCGCCTCCCAAAGTGCCGGGATTACAGGTGTGAGCCACCGAGCCCGGCCCAAGCCCGTCTCTTTCCTGAGCTCTGACTTGTAAGCACAGCCACCCCTTTGCATCTTTCCTAGGGTCTGATGTGTCCAAAGACAAGCTCTCCGTCTCTACCCACCCCCCACCAGCTCCTCCCATGGTCCTTCAGCTCCATAAATGTAGCCACTGTGCAGCCAGCTGTTCAGGCCACAGCCTTGCCATCATTTTCTTTGTCTGCTGTCCTCTCCTCCGTGTCGGATCCATCTTCAGCCCTGGGGATGCTACCTTGACCATCTGTCCCCAACCTGCCCCCTTCCCACCTGGTCCAAGGCCCAGAGACTGCAATGCCTCCCTCTTGGATATCCTCGCTCCTCCTGCTCTGACTTGTCCTGCCCTGTGTGTGGCCGCCATGCTTGTCACACGCCTCTGGCTTGGGAGTGTCACTGACCCAGAGCTCTTGCTGCTGGGCTCGGAAGCCCTTCCTGGGTTTCAGGTCACACCTCTCAGCTGCTCCCAGCCAGTGGCTGAGGGAGAAATGTGTACTTGGGAGATCCGTTTCTGGGGGACAGGGGTGTCCTCCAGTGGCCGACTTTGGTGGAATCCCCACAGCCTTGCTGAGTGCTCCTCAATGCGTGGTAGCGCAGGGCGACAGCACCAACCTTCTTCCACCACTCTCCCTCTCCCTCAGGGTCTCCAGCCTTCTCTGGCTCTCTTCCTGTGTGCTCACACAGTCATCTCCACCAATAAAATCCCTGCATGTTTAACCCCATCTTGGCACTTGTGTCTTTTTTATTTTTTTGAGTCGGGGTCTCATTCTGCCACCCAGGCTGGAGTGCAGTGGCTCGATCTCAGCTCACTGCAGCCTCGACCTCCTGGGCTCAGGCGATCCTTCCACCTCAGCCTCCCAAGGAGCTAGGACTACAGGTGTGCACTACGACACCTGGCTAATTTTTTTTTTGTAGATATAAGGTCTCACTAGGTTGCCCAGGCTGGTCTCAAACTCCTAGGCTCAAGCGATCCTCCTACCTCAGACTCCCAAAGTGCTGGGATTCCAGGTGTGTGCCACCACGCCCGGCCCGTGTTTGTTTCTTGAAGGATTTGGACTCATGAAGTCCCTGTGCTGGAAATTCTCTGCTTGCCCTTCTAGACCCGTGTACACTCTTCCCCTCTGTGCCCTGGGAGGCTGATCCTTGGGGCCCAGGGGGCTCCGGCGGCGCTGGGGTGGGCTCAGCCAAGGGGGATGGAGGAGGAAGAGGAGACAGCAGTTGGGGGGGTCTGCTCCCCCACTCCCTGCCAGGCACTGTGGGCTGGCTGTGAAGGTCACAGCTTCTGTCTCGCGGCCTCTTATCAGAGCAGCCTCCCTGGGTTCCAGTGACAGCTCCCGCCCCTAACTCCTGTGGGCCGGGGGTGGTGAGAGCTCCCACTCCTCCCAGCTGGGGATACTGCACCACCCTTGTCGATTTCCCCAAGCTCTGCCTGCATGGTCTAAATATCACCTTGATTTCACTCTTCCACAGCTCCCCTGGTGAGGGGCCCCAAATGTCCTGCTGGGGTCTCCTGTCGCCCTCACCCCTGTGAGTATTTATTCGTATGCTCTCAACACAGCAGCGAGAGGTCTTCTGAGGCCTAAGGCTGACCAGCTCCCAACTTGCTCAAATCCCCCAGGCCTCAAATCTCACTCAGAGTGGCAGCCAAGATTCCAGCAATGCCCTACGAGGCCTAACGAGACGTGACCCGGCCTCTTCTTAGTCCACACTGGCCTCTACTGTTTGAGGACTCGTGTCCTGTTTGTGAGGCGGAGCCATTGCCTGTGCTGTTCCCTCTGCCTGGAATGCTTGTCCTCCTCACAAGTACTGGTCTGATCTGTCCCGGGTCAAGGGAGGTGGTCGGAGCCCCTCTGTCTGGGCCTGTTCCAACCTGAGTTTCTGGTCCGTGAGCCTCAGACTTCTGTCTCCCAGCCCTGCTTCAGCCCCGCCTCCCCATGGGCACACCCCAGCCCCGTACCTGCACGAACTTATTGTAGCCGATGAGGCTTTCGTTGGAGAGCACCTGGTTGATGGACACAGTCTTGACCTGCTCATCACCTGTGAGGGGACAGAGAGGGTGGGAAGGGCAGGAATGCGCCAGCATGAGGCCACGTGCTCTGGGAGGCAGACGGGAGAAGCCAGGCTCACAGCTCCCGGTCTTGCTGAGACAGCAGCTCTCAGACGTCCCAGGGCCTCGGGCAGGCACCACGAGTCAGGACTGGGCGTGGTCGCTGCACAAATCTGGGGGCGTAAGGCGTGGGAGAGTCCCCAGGCCACAGCGCTCTGAACTTGAGACCTTTGAATTCGGCAGCGGTAAGGCCTTTCATTGGAAATTCACAACCCTCTGATGCCTCCACCTCGGTCCTGTAGGGAGCTGGGTCGACAACAGCCCTCCCGCCCCACGCACCCAGCAAGGCCAGCCTTTGCAGATTTGCTGAGCAGCAAACCGGCCAGTCCAGGGATTCGGACACCATCAGGCCCCATCCTGCCCTCCAGGAAGTGACTGCACAGCTGTATAGCCTTTCTGCCTGCCTGAAGGGCTGCCCATGGAGATGGGGCTGGTCCGGGAAGGGAGGCTGGAGCCCCCAGCTCACAACCCTCATGGCTGCCTTTCGTGGGCCCTTACCACGAGCAGGTCCTGAGCAGAATGCCCTGCCATCAGCCCCTCTCTTAACCTGCACAGCGACCGCAAGGTGTGCATTATCCCCACTTTACAGATGAGCAAACTGAGGCCCAGAGAGGTCAGATGACTTGCCCAAGGTCACACAGCTACGATATGAGGGGCTTGCGACTGGAACCCAAGCCCAGTGCTCACAGAGGGTCTCCCACCTTGACCAAGGGCAAGGAAAGGGCTCCTGCCCGCAAACCTGGGGTTCAACAGACAGTTGGGGCACGGTCCCAGCTCCTCTGCATTCTTCCTGAGAACTCTGGGCCAGTGCTACCCCTCTCTGAGCCTCACAATCTTGGGTATGAAGGGGGTGACACACATCCCACGGGGATCAAATGGAATAACATGCATGGCATGGGCCTGGCAAACCCAGGTGCCTAATAATTGCACTGTTGTCTGTGGCCATGCCGCTTTGAAGGTGCCTGGTCTCATTTAGTAAGTGCGCTGGTCTCTGCACCTGCCTGAGGTCGGTCACCGCCTGTGTGTCAGCTCTCGAAGGTGAGGGGCTGCTAGTGGCCTGACATCTGTGACCCCTCACTCTCCCTCCCAGCTGAGGGAGGTTGCAAGAACTTTGCTAGCTGATTCCTGGGTCTTGCTCACTGGAGACAGGGTTCTCCCAGGAAAGACGAAGGATTCCTTCCACCCGCCTGGGACACAGCTGGATCTGAGGAGTTTTAAGACCTGGTCTGGGTTCAGAGGAGTGCAGTCATGGTCCCCTCGGGAGAG